TGCTTAGTAGATCTGTTCATGTGTGTGAAACACTTGCATAATTATAGAATAAAAGTGCCAGAAGATGTGGTAAAGTCTAATGAAACTCATTTTCTGTAATTAACCTGTAAGATTTTGAAGTGAAGGGAATTCGGTGACAAGGTTCAAGTTTTCTACCACGATATATCTTCTGTTCTTTTCATTCTTATTAATACTACAAAATAGTTATGCTAAATGCTAAAAGGTCAAAATAAATACGTTCGAAGTCTATTTGTACCGTACGAAGGTTATAGCTTAGTACTGGTAATAGCTTGAATGCATTGATTCTTCTCATATATCCGGAAAGCATCCAATGTGTCCTTCCTGGCAATTATCATATCTGGGTAGCTTTCCCACCATGCTTCCCCTGATAAAAAGGAGAGATTTGGAGGCATCAGGAAGAAACTTCATTGGCGGTGAAACTTTGAAATTTCTGCAGAATGAGCTCATTGTTGATTAAATCTTGCCCAATCTTCAACTCACCAAAGTTGTCAATTCGGGAAATATAAAAACCACCAACATGTGGAACTCCTTTCATGTTTCAGGTCAACTGTCTTCATCACCCGTACTGTTTCCACCACCCCTTTTCAACAATTAAATTGATCCTTGTCAAGGAGCAATTTAGTTTCTTAGTTAAAGTTCCACGAAATTCTTCATTGGAAACAGTTGAATAATTAGACCAATCGGGGTGATTCACATGTACAAAAGTTAAATCATTTTACCAAAGTTTAATATCTTATTTGAATAGGTGTTTGAAATTATCATTATAACATGTTTCCTATTAAAAAAATCATATCTTTTCATTATTCAGTTAAAATATTTTGTAGTGATATAATTTCCAATTAAAATTTTTATTGTATAATTTCCATATATATATATATATATGCTCATTTGGTCCCTTGGGAAGTTGAATAATGAATGAGAGCGGCACTGGCTACCACAATTATGCTTCATATGCCTCACCTCAAATTCCACCATCTTTTTGTTCATCTCAATTTACACTATTACATCACAAATACAAGTCAAATATTTTACCTAAAAATTGCGAATGCTTAAAATGTTACAAAATTTAAATAAATTCAAGTGATATTTTGATATTTAGCTTAATGATAAGTTTATAAATCTTCATATTTAAAAAATTGTGTTCGAATTCTTTTTTTGTCAAATTAAAAAAAAAATCTATTGATAAACAAACAATAAACAATATTATCAATTTAAATATCCGAATATTTGATTCGATGAAAAGTATAAATCTATGTATTAAAAAATTACATTTAAATTCTCCTTTTAATTTTTGTATCACTAATCTTTTTAGTTTGATATCAAATTATATTTTTTGTTAAAATTAAAAGTAATTTTTACCCATTTCAAAAATATTTCTTTCATTTCAAAATTGAAATTTGAAATTTTCAAATTAAAATTTTAAAATACAATGACTGCAATGTCCTGTTAAAGACAAACAAAAAATGAAATTAAGATTGACAAGCCAAAATGAAGACTATTGTCATGCATGGGACCCGTGTAATTCAACCATTGCCTTGCTTTATTGGGATCCCACGCTTCATTGGTTTGCCATTCAATCAGTCAATACAAGTTGATGTGAACATGTCAAATCTAACTCAGAGAACAAGAAAGGAAAACATCCTTAAAATTTTTAATTAATTTTAAATTATCATTTTAATGTAATGTTGCCTATCATTAATTAGATATTTTAAATCGATGTTTGATATTGTATAAAAAAATCAATAAGCACAAAATATTCAAAACAATCTTATTATTAATAATATTTTATAAAATAATATTTAATTCATCATTCTATATAACATGTTTGATTGAAAGAAATGAGAAGGAATGACATCCTTCTCTCACTTTACTTGGTTCAAGACTAATAGGCTTAAACAGTTATTATGAATCTCCCTTTCCATATTGATATAATTTTTTGTAGTGATATAATTTCTAATTAAAATTTTTATTATATATTTTGGAACTTATATATGCTCATTTGTATTAGTGTAAGCCTTGCAAGCCAATCGATTTTGTGCTTATAAAATATTACATTAATTAGTTATTTTTCATATTAAATATATTATGAATATTTTATATAATATATGAGGTATTTTTTTATCCATAAATTTATTTATAAAGAGTTATGAGAGACTTATGTAAATAAAGTCCTTAGAACATAATGACCTTGTAAAGAAATTATAAAGGTTATAATTATCAAATTCTTATGCATCAAAGCCTTATTCCTAAATATGTTCTTGGTCATTGTATTGTTAAGAATAAGGGCATTAACAATACTCAAAGGCTAGTATATGCTAAGCCTCTTTACTTTATAAGTAAGCAATTGATCTCATAGGTTAAAGTATGTGAGATACTTGGGATAGTATGTGGATGCTTGTTATAAAATAAGTTCACTCATCATGACCCGTTATGAGAGTTCCATTTGGTATTTCACTTAAGTTTCTATGGAAATACTTTCATGTGTCAGTAGTGTAAGTAATCCTTAAACTTGTGATACCAGGTTATTTTGTATGTGAATTGTCATGCTTTGATTTCACCTCTACGGGTCTGGAGATGACCAGATACTTAAACAAGGTACTTTTGGGCATAGCATGAAACATACGAAGATGAATGAGTAGTTCAGAAAGGATTTATTATCCCAAGTGATTTGAAGGGGACATATATCATTTGTTCCTGACTTATATTGATTAAAAGTCCTTGGCCAAGACAATCTTGATAAGTCAATATAGAAGCTACAGGACTAATATGGATAAGTTAGAAAGTAGACACCGAGCCAAGCTTTCTTTCTATCTGGGATATATGATAAAAGGATCGAATTACACTGAGATACTATACGCTGAAAGGTTAGTCAAATCATATTAACTCTCCTAACATTTGAGTCGTCATGATGTATTACTAGATGCCACTCATGATCTATAAATATAAATATAAATTCTTAATTGAATTAATTTATATTTATTGTCAATATGTTGAGAGCCTAATCGGTCATACACATATGGTGAATTGTCGAAATTAATTTGAGTTCAATTGGATATGATTTAATTGATTTTATAGAGAATTGATCCAATTAAGTATTGGGCTAAATAAAATATGATTTGATAGAGTATTAAATAAATGCCCAATTAGTCCAAGACATTTTATAATTCTTATTGGATATAAAGTAGGTCAATTCACTCTATAAAAAAGAATCCTTTAGCCACCTCTTGAATAAATAGAAGAGTTCTATTTTACGTTCTCATGTGTTGGGATAAGATAACAACCAAAAGAGATAAACATAAGAGAGCTCAAAAGTTGAGAGTTTGCTAGCACAAATGTCGGCTTAAGGATTCACACACTCTTAGTGAAGAGATTTCGACAAATCATTGTGTGGGTCACTATTAGAGGTAGGATAACTGTGCTACTATGATTTGATAAGTCCTAGTTGGTGTACAAAAGTTAAAACGAAAAGCCAAGGAGGACTCCACTAAAGAAAGCAGACTTTCAGATATGTCAAAATTTCTCTTATGGTTTTTCTATATTAGTTTCAATTAAAGTGATCCATGGCTTTGGAAATTAAAATTTTAATAATATTTCGCTATGTATGAGTTATCTTAGTATGATTTAAATCCCCAATAATTTGGTCCCTTGGGAAGCTGAATAATGAATGGGAGGGACATTGGCTACCACAATTTTGCTTCATATTCCTCACCTCAAACTTCCACCATCTTTTTGTTCATCTCAATATACATTACTGCATGTAAATGTAAGTTGCATATTTGACTTAAAATAGTGTTTGGTATGAGAGATGTGTACTCACGTTCTCTGTTATGGGCTCAATTAAATTACACTATAATATTTGTTTTCAAGCAAGTCAATACGATATGAGATTGTAATGAAATCAAAATCCATAGATATAATGTAATTGTACTGAACAACCAGTGCAATGTTATCAAACATTACTTGACAATTTTGCCATTCTTTGATCAATAAAATTCTAAAACTTAATATTTTTGTTAAAAAAATTAGAAATAATGTTAGCTTTTTTAAAAAAAAATCTCTAAAATTTGAAAAACATAAAAATAATTTTTTAATATTTATATATTAAAATAAAATTTAAAAAACCCCCAAAATACTTTTAATTGTTAACAAAAATATTAGACAATAAAGACTAGAAATAATTTTTATTTTTAAGAAATTATAAAAGATTAGAAAATCCATAAAAGAAAAAATATATTAAGAATTTTTGAAAAAAATAGAAGATATTCTTTTTTACCCTCATAATTTTTTAAAATTATAAATATTATTTCCTCTTAGTGATTTTGAATAAACTTTTAAAAATAAAAATATTTATTTTTTACTTTCAAAAAAATCTCTTTCTGGTTTTTATTTTTTTATTTTGATTTTTTTCAAAAAAGAATTCTTTCCATTTTTAATGATTTAGGAATTTTTCAAAATAACAATAATAACAATGAATTTTAAAATTTTAAAAATTGCTAACAAATAAAAAATTATTATGAATTAATATTAAAGTGGGTTTGCCTTATTTGATACTTGGTTATTTGTTGGGAGAATATTGCCTTTGTTTTATTGTTGGTGAAAACTAGTTTTGGCATTTTATTTTTTATTAAACTCTCAAGGAGTTAATCTCTATATTTTTTTATTTTCTTATTGTGGTGTTTTATGATGGGTGAGTTTGGGATTGTTTCCCAATTGTCTAGCAGATTGCTTGACCATTTGATGTATATTATTTACTTTCCAATTGATAATTAAAGTTCAACCAACATGAGTGTCTTATAGAATAATTTATTCCTAAGAAGTTTGATATTCAAATTTCTATGCGGTTTTTTTTTGTTCATGTCATATACACACTAAATTTGCATTATAATAAATTATAATAAAATATATGAGATTATAATAAAAAATAAAAATAAAATATATGAGATTAAAAAATAATTTAAGAGATAATATCATATAAAAATTTATAATAAAAAACATACAAGTATATTAAATTTGTATTTTAATATATAAGGGTAATTTTAAAAATTAATATTACATTTTCGATAAAGTACTTGTAAACTAAAAGTTACAATACTATTTTCGCATCATTTTAATTAGCACTTTCTTAATATACCATACTTTTTAATGTTATATTCTTAACAATCACATTCTTTTTAATCACATTTTTTGTAATGCGAATGCATTGTAAGGTATTAAACGTCACTTACAAGTTGTCTAAAACATTACCCTTGCATGGCTTGAATATTTAAAGTGTTATAAAATTTAAACTAATTCAAGTGATATCTGAGCATTTGACTTAATGATAAGTGCATAAATCTTTGTGTTCAAAAAATTGTGTCCTAATTCTCTTTTTCTCATATAAAAAAATCAAATGATTAACAAACAATTGACAATACCAATCTTGAAATCTGAGCATTTAATTTAATAATAAATATAAATCTTTAAGGGCAAAAAATTGCATTTGAATTATATTTTTGGCTAATTTTAACCTATTTCGTCATTCTTTCTTTTGTCTCAAAATTTGAATTTGAAATTTTCAAATTAAAATTTTAAAATGCAATAACTGAAATGTCCTAGTCAAGATAACATATAGGAAATTAAGATGGACAAAACCAAAAGGAAGACTAATGTAATGCATGGGACCAGTGTAATTCAACCATTGTCTTGCTTTATTGGGATCGCAAGCTTAATTGGTTTACCATGTAATTAGCAACACACGTTGATCTGAACATTTCAAATCTTACTCAGACAACAAGAAAAGAAGACATCCTTAAATTTTGTTTTTGTATTTATCAAGCCGCTTTCCATTCAAATTTGATTAGTTTAATTGCTTTTAGATTTTTTTTTTTAATTAGGGGAGGGAGGGATTAGAACTCTATTTTTTAAGTAGAGGAATAATGCACCAACTAATGAGCCAAATACTCGATGAATGTTAATTATTTTTAAATTATCATTTCAAAATAATCTTATTATTAATAATTAGGAAAATATGAGATAATTTTAATTTTTATTAAATATATAACCTTTAAAATAATACTTAATCCATCTATATACCATGTTTAGTTTGAGAGGAAAATACTTTATTTGGTTCACGGAATGATCATTTTGGAAATGACTTGAATAGCTATTACTGACTTCTCCCTTGGAAATAATTATTTCATTGGTCAAGGAATATGCTGAAAAATTTTCAAATAAAAATACCCTTAATGATTTTACGAAATTACTATTCTAAAAATGTTAAAATCTAATCCTAGTATGTAAAAGCCTTCATTTTCCTCTTTTTCTTTCTCTCTACCTTATCCACCTCTCTTTCTCTCGATAAAATATAATAAGATGAAATTAAAATAAAAAATATATTAAATTTTTAATTCTAAATTATTAATATTTTAAATAAATTGTAAATTTTTAATATTTTAATATTTTTAAAAAATGAAATTACAGATAGAATAAAATAAAAATAAAAATCACATTAAAGTTTTAATTATAAATTATTAATATTTTGAATAAACTGTAAATTATTAATATTTTAATATTTTAAAAAATGAAATTACAGATAGAATAAAATAAAAAAAAATCACATTAAAGTTTTAATTATAAATTATTAATATTTTGAATAAACTGTAAATTATTAATATTTTAATATTTTAAAAAATGAAATTACAGATAGAATAAAATAAAAATAAAAATCACATTAAAGTTTTAATTATAAATTATTAATATTTTGAATAAACTGTAAATTATTAATATTTTACTATTTTAAAAATGAAAATAGAGAAAACAATAAAATTAAATAATAAAATTTAATTTAATTAAAATTATTAATGTTTTTAATAAATTATCCAAAAGAATTAAATATTTTAAATTAAAATTAATAAATTATAATAAATATTATTTTTATTCATTTCTTCCCTTGTTTCTTTGATCTTCCAAAATTATTCTTCCCTACCAAACATCGAAAGAGTATGAAAAAGTAATCTCACTACTCCTGTTCTATTTTATTCTATTTCCCTTATATTTCATTTCGTTAATCAAACACCTCACTTAATTTTGATGAATACAACAATTAATCAAAGTCATTGTCGTATTCCGTTAAAAGTTAAAATCAGATAAGTTGCCTTGTAGTTGAATAGGAATAAAATGATTTTGGAGATCATTCTCCTTTGTTATAAATTTTGTTAATTTTTTTTGTATACAAATTATCTTATAAAAGAGCGATTTAATCATTCTCGAAAATCTTAAATAATTATCGAATTCAGTAATCTAATCTCAAAAAATAAATCATAAATTTTAAGAAGATCACCTCATATTGTAAATTTTAGTAAATTAAATGCAGTTGTCCATATGTGTCGTCTTGACGACGCCGTTTGGCGGGCGATGAGGAGCAAAAAGAAGGCAGAAAACATGCAACTATGTCGATCAGGCGGTTGTTAAGAGAGACAAAGAAAAGAAAGGATGATGAAGGGAATTAAAAACGTGCATGGGCGATGAAGGGAATTAACACGTGGGTCAATACCCTTTTTGCCATAAGAAATAGACGGCAGCACATTCTGGCAGCATTCAAAGCAGATGAGCGCAGCCAATGAAGAGAACTTTTTGGAAAAAGCCAATTTTGTCACATGTAGATTGAGCTATGTTTCTCCTATTTACTATTCTCTGTGTTCAAATTGCTTTTGCATCTTTCCCTCTTTGTATTTTTGCTTTAAAGAAGATACATGCTCCAAATGGGTAGTTATCCTGGTCTTTAATTATGTTTATCTACGTGTGCGGAAAATTTGACTCCTTTAAAAAAAACCAATTAATATAGAAATTGCGTAAATGTGAAAAATAATTATTAATTAGCATATATGTAGGACACCTAATATGATTAAAAAATAGTCTGAAGATTAATGTACAAAAAAGCGTATGGTTTGATTAATTAAGAAGAAGTGGCAGCGGAATCTAGATTAAGAAATTAAATTGTGGTTTCCAAAAAAATTAAAGAAATTAAATATATACATATATTATATACTATACCCTGAGATATAATATACAATATAATGCTGAATTAAAGTATGTAACAGTGCCAGTAGTTATTTAAATGTTTGCTCTAATTATGTAAAAGAACATAGATTTACTGTAATTAGTGTTTATTCTTTAACTTTTTTTAGAGAAAATGCACATAATTAACTTGTGTTGTATAATTAGTTACATAGATTTGTTTGAAACATTTTGATAATTGAATACCACAAAAAGCGGGTAAATGGAAAAACATATCAGTTAATATAACATTAAGAATACAAACTGAATATTTATAAATAAATCTGAATTCAGTACTTTGATCTATATATTTCTTTTGAGCTCACTATATAGATATTTATGCAATTATACAGCAGTGCCATGGGACCTCTTAGGTTTAAATTATTACCTTGTTTTCTGGGTCATCAAATAAGGGAAAACTGCCAATGAGGCTTGGTTAGGGGTGTAAGTAGGCTGTTTCATTTGGCATGTTGCTTTGGTTGAACTTGAAAGATGCTCAAGTTGGATTCGCTTACAATAAAATATATATTGAGTTTGAGCTCAACACTGAGTCAAATCGTATTTGAGTATTTTAATATTAATCTAATCCCTTTTTATTTTTATAATATATTTTATTAGATATATGTATATCATATGTATAATAATATAGAATCATATAAGTCATTGATCTCAATAATAATGATTTAAAATGGAAATTCATTTGAATTTTGACTAATCAAGTTTGAATAACTCAAATGTGAAGTTTAAATTTAAAGTTGCCAACTCAATTTATATTCAAGCTAAGTTTCAAATCTTGAATTCTAAAGTTGAATCAAGTTCAGGTTTTCAGGCATCAACTTAACTAAACCTCAATTACCTCATCAAAGCGTCACCTTAATAATAATAATTAAGGTAAAGTTTGTGAGGTCATCTATATATAATAATATATTAAGGTCTTCAGAGGCTTATAAGTTTTAGTTTATGTTATTTTATGCAACTCAACACTTTTCTCCCGTTCTGTTAGCTTTTATACAACAATTCAAATGAAAACCATCATCCACAATATGGTAATAGAGCAATAAAATATCCTTCACACCATGCTAGTTTCTTTAAAAAGAAAAAGCAAGAAGAAAGGAATATGTATGTATATATGTTTCTTTGTTAAAAGAGGATCCATAACATAATGGCAGTAAATTATAAAATTTATTTAAAAGTACACGCATCAAATTAATGTCTTCCTCCGTAGTCCCTACCCCTTCCCCCAACTTATAATTAAGAAAGTAGATTGAAATGCTTCTTGATTGAAAGCATTAATTAGCATATGCATTAACTTAGATGATAATCATATGTATATACATGTACTGGTGATGGATTGGAGCAACAGTCTTATATATCTAACTAGGGTTGACGCTGTTGATGATGATGCAGAAATTGAAGCTGGTGTGAAGTCCGTTGATCAGGATTTATGGCATTGTGGCATATGTCCGTGTCTGCACTAGGGCTTTCATGGTTATGCTTACCCTCGTAAGTTGTTATCACAAACAGAGGATCTTCTTTTTCCCTTTCCACTCTCTTTTTCACCTTGCATCCTGCCGCTGAGCACCGGTAATAGTTCCTGTTACATGTATATATGTCACTCTTAAGAAACAGTCAGGCCTTCAATCAATGATCCATACCTCATGAAATTTAACAAACTGCAAACATAAGCAACAAACAGCTGTCAAATATCCATCCCTAGCCCACCCCATGATCAGTAAGACATTAGTTTGCCTGGAAATTGGCACCTTTAATTTTACCAAAACTTGAACCAAAGGCATGCAGCTTATCTAAATTACTTCTAGAGGAAGACTTTCTATTATTACATCTATGTGAATGATGAAACTAGAATAATCATGGTATATATTTCCCGGTCCTTAGAGCCATGAAAGTCGTCGTTGCGATCCAGCTGAAGTGAGGATATACATATACATATACATATACATATACATATACATATACATACATATATATATATATATATCAGCTAACCAGTAAAAACCAGCTGCCGCATGTAGGAGGTTAGTGTCCTTGCTTGATAAAATCACTTACATGCTCTTAATAATCCCTTAATTTCTAATCTAATATTTCTGGGTTTTTCAAACAAGGAAGGTGAGAAGTATGCAGGATGCTTGATAATGATGAGAGAACGGATCAACCCTTTGTTTCTTATAACCATGGACTTTGTACAGGCACCTTCGTTCCAACTCTATGGCTATAAAAATCGAGGTATATCATCAATAGATTGAAAGCTGGGGATTAATAATTTACATGAAACCTAGCCCTAGAGTGAAGGGAATGATTAGATCATTTGTGTTTTAAGTCATCAGTTATTTAGCTCATATGATCATCTAAGCCAAAGCCAAAGCCAATTAAAGGATGATTTAATTACCTTGGATTAGGGCTATTCTTAACCCTCTTCTTCCCATATTTTCTCCATTTGTACCCATCATCCATTATCTCAAGATCAGATTTGGTTCGGAAAGCAATTTTAAACCCCACATGATCATCCATCTCCATTGTCTTTACATAACCCTCACCATCTCTACACAAGAAAGAAAATTACCACAATTAGTAAAAAAGTACTTAATAAATCTAGATTGACAAGAAAAGTACTCCAATGTTTTAATAAATAAATAGCTAGGAAGCAAGGAATTAATTAGTTACTGTTGCATATCATCGACAGAGCTGGTTCTTGGAACCTCCCAGCAACCCTTGACTGAACTTCTAGTCATCTCATATGATGAAAGGAAAGGACTTTGAGAAAGAGTAGTCGACGCTTTAAGACAGGAAGATGAAGAGGCATTAGTTTCAAAATTAGTTCCTTCACCTGCAACAGCAGCTAGAATTAGAAAATCTTCATCAAAGTCGAGTTGATCAGCACTGTTATCATCCATGACGGCGTGACTGTAAATAGGGCTTGAGCTTTGCTGTGGGATGTTAACTGCTGCTGCTGCTGCTGCTTCTAGGAAGGTGGTGATGTTAGAGTTGGACATGGTATGGTTGGAGTAAGAGAGGGTGTGAGTGGAAAATCTTCAGAAAAAAGAAAGAGAGTTGGAAATTTCTTTGTCTTTGTTCAACTTTTGTACGGGAGTGAGCTAGGGCAATATGGGCATTAAACTTGACAAAACTTTGTTTTGGGGTTTTTCATGGGAACTTCTTTGTGGAAGACAGTAGTCTCCCCTTCATACTGCCGCCACGTGCCTTGGACTTTTGCTTTAAATTCTATCCATTTACATTATAACTCTCCACACATTGCTTTGTCTGATTCCTAATATTAATTAAAGAGGACATGTATCACTCTTACACATAAAAAAAAGGTTTAATAAAATTTTATTTTTTTATTTTGAGTTCAAATAAGTTTTTATAGTTATAATTGATTAACTATTATTAATAAAAATATCATTTGTCAATAGATGCCATTTGGTATACTGATGTGTCATGATAGATGATACATGACATATTGATGTGATATGAAGATATGATAATGTAAAATTTTTCATCTTCCATATTAAGGTCACGTGAGCACAAAATGACAAGTGATGTTTTGATTAATGATAATTAGTTAAGTATTAGTTATTAAAATCTATTTGATAAAAAAAAGTAAACAAGAATAAAGATTTATTTAAATTTTTTAAAATAATTTGAAGACTTTTTTTAAATGTTATGTCAAAAATAAACTAATTATCAGCCAATTGGATACTATGGTGGTTTTGAAACTAATGAATGAATTAGTATGAAAGGGCTGAAAACAAATACTTTACTATACCAAGAACCGCCAAAGGATTATTTAAGACCACAAACCATTTCTATTGAGTCTCTGAAATGTGTGTGAAAATTTAAAGCAGTGACAAACATGAAGAAAAGTCGTGAAAATGTGCTCTTTGAAACCACCTTGATAAGCATATATACCAGACCATATTGCTAGATATGTTCATGGAGCGTTGACAATATTAAGACTTTTGTTGCATTTTTCTTTCCAAAAAAGAGTAATGTGCTTTGAATTGAAGGTTCTAACCATACCTGCCAATTGAGCTAAATAGCCCAAGTGGCGTACTACTTAAAAAATATTTTAGTTTCAAATATTAATGTGTATATCATAAGGTTCAAATTAACTCTGTTCTTTACTTTTGCTTTTATGCTTGCTAGCTAGTTGCTACAAAATATTTGGTCATTTCTTTTCAATTTTTCTTGATTTGCTTGTTCAATGGCAATATATATAGCACTGCAGGGTGCATGGAGGGCTGAGCCACTAAGCTACCGTTAGTTACTGCATAATTATCTGATTGTTTTTCAACAAAAATTCCACTGTAATTTGCTTCTAGAAACGCTTATTCTTTTGTTGTAGGAAAACGTTAGTTCATTTATATTCAAATTAAGATACGAATAAATCGGAAGCTTGTTTCGGGCCCTCTCCGGAAAAGAACTTTCCTTTATGGCTCTGATTGATAAAGCTAAAAAGTTTTCTCAGGAAAAATTTTCAGCTTATTTGGAAGGGAAAAAACTTTTATAAATATAAAAAAATTATAAAATGTTTTATAGAGCAATGGAAAAAATTATGTTGACCAAACGTAAAACATTTTCCAGCTACTTTCTCCTCTATTGAGGATCGTTCCATAGACTTCGGATTGATCCCACTTAAAAAATATTACCCTCCTTTTTCTATGTATGTATTAGCCTCCCTTTTGCATACGATTAGCCATTAAATAGTGAATCTAAACATACCTACCGCATCAAACTCCAATTTTAAGCTATATTATAAGAGATGAAATTTGTTGAATTCATATTGGAAAGGTTTACATCATCATTTCGTATCCATAGTTGAAGAAAAAGAATGTCTGAATTCCTTGTATATGGCCGAAAAGTATGTTTAACTTTGACCTTAAATTAATGTCCTCATTCCTTGTATTAAAGACAGCTGACAGGAAACATGCATGCATGGCAACTGGGATGAATTTGCTAATCTATCATGAAAAATTCCGGGATTTCGAGAAGTTGACAAATGAAAAGAAAAGTCTTGTGTATGGTAATTGTCTTAGTATTAGTTTGAAATGTATCCAAGAAGTCGACAAGGTCACCTAACTTGAAACATATTAGCAAATTTTGTTATAGACATGAACAGTGACATATCACAAAGCATGCATGCATCATTGGAAAAGTCTTTTGGCTTCTGATATGTGGTGAAAGACTGATTAGGCAGGCAAAGGTTTTGGCGTGTTTAACTTAATTAATTGATTCCTAGTTTTAGATGAATAAATATAGGGGGGGTTGAATTAGGAAAAAGACTTTTGTAGGAGAGAAGTCAACTCAGAATGTGTAGCTCTATTATTAAGAAATTTCGTGTGGGTTTTCTTTTCACGCACAATCAAACCTTTATTTCAAAGGTTGATCTTTTCTTTTCTTCAATCCCATCGTAGTACTTGCTATTTGGTATCCTTTAAAGCCATCTTGTTTTACAGTACTTTTATTGTCCATCTCTAATTTTCATGCCAAAAAGTGAAAAAAAATTATAAAAAATAAATTTTTAATAAAAATGTATGCAAATGTATTAGGTGTTTTAAAAAAAAAGAGGACATTGTTTTGAAATATTCAAAAAAAGAAGTATTGATAAAGAGAATGAAACTGAGAGAATATATATTTTACATTTTTTATATAAAAATATTTATTGAATTTTAAGTTACATAAATAAAAAAAAAGATTTATTAAATGCACATAGGATACTTATACATTATCACTTGATCATAGAAATTACATCTCATAAACTCAAAATTTCTTCAAAATAAATATTTTAAATTCATTATCAATATGCAATATACTTGTGCACTGTTACTTAATTACAGAAATATCACTTCCTAAATGTACAAAAATAAAAGCTCAAAAGTCCTTTGAAATAAAGATTTTTAAAATTACAAGTATTTATTTTTTTAAAATTTTTAACAGTTAAATTTATTTATCAATGAAATGACGACATTGAGATCAATTATAATGTATAATACTTATAGTATTCTAAAAATAATTTTTTCATACCTTACAAATTTATAATTCACTAATGCACTGATTTAATCAAACAAAACAGACTATCATTGTTTTTTTAAATTCAAGCTCAAGTTGATGTGATTAAAAATGGTCATAAATATAACATTTTAAAATATCAAATAAATATAAACATAAATTTAAATATGCTGTTATATGAATATTAAAGTAACTCGATTTTATGGTGTCAATAACTTGTCAGTAGAAGAGATTGGAGCTCGTCAAATTGGCTGAAAACCGTAGCTTGAAACCCTTCCAACATACAAAAGACCTTCGGCACGAGCAGCATCAACAATGGGTTTTCAGGCCTCAACTTGCCTTTTTGTCTATGTACCAGGTGAATGCGCATACCCTTGAGCTGTGTCACATGGCAAGATAGACTTTTCAATCTTTTAAAGTTACATTTGATTGATATTTCTTTTACTTTTTAATTTTATATTCATATTTTATAAAAAGAGAACACAAGAAGCAAATCACAAAAAGGAGTCGTCGAATGGAACCTAAACAAAGTAATTAAAAAAGTTATTGCCCTATAAAACTCCTGCATAACAAACATAGACTTTTGACCACGTATGCAAACAGGAAATTCCGAAGGGGGAAAGATGTTTCCATGAATCTTTTGCCAGGCATGAGCGAATTTCACTTGATAGCAACAACCACTCATGAAGAAAATGTCACCAAACTTACCCTAACTTTTGAGCTGCCAGTTTACATTTGCTTCAGGAATCAAAGTGATTTACAGCTTATCATGTGGGAAAGAGCCAAAAGAGGTCCATTTCTTTTGCCAAGAATTTGGCATTTAATTTTGCAGTGAACAAGGGGAAATTAGAATTGGACTAAGACTAATGGGATTCATTGTAAAGGATTCATGAAATTACTTAATTACCCTTACATCATTTGTTTTACCCTTCATTTCGCTCTTTCTTCTTCTTCTCCTTCTCCTTCCTTCCCGACGGTAATTGCTGCCAGATCGACATCGACTTGGGCCAGGGCTAGTACTTGGATCTGGTGTCACAGGCCGAATTTGGCTTGACTTTTTTGACCATGATAGGACACTCCGGCTTTCTCCGATGACCGTCGATGGCTCAGTTGCTGCCAATAAACAAAAGTTTAAAAATGATTAAGGGTAAATATGTAATTGCGTATGTCCTCCAAACAGCGGTAACAAACATTTGTTTCATTTTCTGTGAATAATAAATTATTATATTCTCCCATGGTTGCGAACTGTAATTAGTTTTTCTCTGTTGCCCCTTTTTCTAATTGCCCTAAAAATGGAGGCCATGGTCCCCCTGGTCAAGATTCCAGGCCCCATTTTTTAACAAAATTTGGACCACCTTTTCGCTGTTTCTAAGTCTTGAAAGGTGTTTACGAAGAAAAAGGAAAGAGTGCTCTTTTAAACTTCTTCTTTCCTGTTTTATTATATATTTATTTAGATGTGGGGGATTGCCCAAAGGAATATGCAAAGGGTTGGTGAGATTCTTTTATCTCGTTTTAACGTTCTTTGATGTGTACATTTGCAAAAAACCTTGAAAATCTATCCCAATGTAATTCCTTTTTGTTAGTACAAACAATGTAGTTTTGTTATTATTTTGATATAAGATAGAGAGCATTATGATTTAAATTTTTTTTCTCAAGTATCACTTTAAACTTACTCTTGAAATATTGAATATTGTTGACTTAGACAAAAGATTATTAGTATTATTGATAGTCTTTTGAAATAAAGTATTTTACTGATCTTTCTTGATAAATTCGATGAGTGTAATGTTTCTGTTGATATTAATACATCATTAAATAGCAGTATAATGTTGGCTTCGAGTAGATTTAGCAATTTTGTAAACTATATGATAACATGACACAAAATAAGTGAATATGGTCGGGTCATTGTGTTTGGTGTTTTAATTGTATCAACATGGTTTATATACAAAGATTTCATATCTTAAATGTCTCAAACTCTCTTAATCCATTTAAAACACATTTATTAATTGTGTTATTGC